GTAGAACGAGAAACACGATTATTATCCTCCCCCTCCTCCTTAGCTTCTCGTACGAGAGACAGCGGACAAAAGTGACTGGAAGGCCCGAAAGAGCCTGGAGTTTGAGTCAAATACATTCAGGTTGCCTATGGTTTATTCTGGCAAGGGTATTGGACCCTGATCATGGTGTCATTTCTTGATTGTGATATATATATCTTGCGAGGCAGTACGTTACAATTACTTCAAAGTGCAAGCAAATATATTTTGACTCGGGAGATCAATCCGTTGAAAATAGAAACCAGATAATGAAATGATGTAGAAATTAAAATAAAGCGACACATTCCACAAACGCCATCCATGTGGCCTGTATAGAACTCTCCAGAACACATCCGGAATGCCAGCGTAAAATAAATAGCCCTAATCCGACACGTCCAAAAAGAAACAAGTCATATGCAGGGAAAACCAAAAAGCAGAAACTTCCCCGGAACATAAATCCACACCGTTACTCTAGACCTTGGAACGTTCTATATGAAACAGAAACAGAAAACCAATAACAAGGCTGAACGGAGTCGAGAACCGCCACCACAGTCTCTGCACGAATCGCAGTCCTCGGCCGCACGCCGACCCCTGGAAGCCCCCCTGAATAACCTCAACCAGGGTATTGCCAAGCCTTGACCTAATGTAAATTGCCCACGCCTAGATCCGCTATTATCTTGGCCTTCATTTATCATTGGAATTGTCAAGTGGCCAAGATTCTGGCGGTCTGGATCGTTGAGTTGGCTTTGTTGTTTCCTTGTGTTGTTTTGTGTATGTATGGACTAAACGTGGCAGAGGCGATACGATACACGATTAACAATTATATCTGTACCCAACTCGTTAACCTTGGTCAATAACATAAATTTACAACATAGATATCTAGACCAGACTATTTAGTGAGTGCAATTAAGTCAGTCACGCTATGTATCTATAGAACAATACGGTAAACTCCGACACCCTTTGTCCCCATCCGTGTGATCTACCCCGAGTCGTGATCGCCAGTCGAGGAGATCGAGGATCCAACATCGTCCTCATTGTGGTCAACACTCAGTACATGAATGGTAGGATTGTCGCTATACAACATATAGTTACAACATGCTTACTGCTTGATTGTACGCGTATATCCTAAGATATCGGTTGCCTCGGATCAGGCTACAGTGTTATTTCTTGATTCCACGATCCCACTAGACAAGGGCTATGCTCTGAATAGAAGGTGGCCCGTCGACCGGTCCTTCCTATTCGGCGCGACTAATTAATAGAGCAATTCAAGCTTCCTGCCCCGTTTATCATCTGTTTTTGACTTTGGTTAGGCCGGGTGATCGGCCTGTTCATGAGTGTGTATATCGTTGGAGATCGACAGGGGGGATAGCGCAAATACAGCGCATGTGTTTTCTAAGAGGATGAGGATGAGTAGTTGTATTAGTATAGGTATAGAGAGTATAAGACATTCGAGAATCTTCGTCGACTCCGTGTAATCCGAGACAACGGAGTCCGAATTAGGAAAAAGCAATAATATACACTGTATCTGGCAGGTAATCGTAAGATTAATAATACCGGTACGAGTGGTTTTGGTGGTAAAGATCGGCAGGGCGGAAATTAGATGTAGTATCACAGCCAATCAGGAACCAGCATTGACCCCAATTTAGCTGCCACCTTTCCATTCTGGGACTGGCCGGGGACGCTATGACAGTTTGCCCCACATGGCGCGGGAAGAGACTTTTCTGTTTTCTTTGGGTTTGGGGTTTTAATCTGCCAATTGAGAATTCCAGATGCCCTAATTCTTGGATCAAGATAAAGCCACAGGGTACAATGCCTTGCATGATCGGGCAGATATATGAAACCTCCGAGGTATAATGTGGCCGAGGGAAGTTGGACCCTAACAGCGGTAAGGAGAAGACTATTCTGGGTGTGAGACACTATTTTCGACGCTGGGGCCGAAGGCTTAGATGAAAAGGGGGAGGGCGATGTATGATCCGTGCTGGATAATAATAGTAATACGAATACGGGACGTAGAATATAGAATAGTTATAGACATAGAATAGACATAGAATAGACATAGACATAAACATAGACACTGGATATGTTGTAACTGACCGTTGGGCGAGAATATAATTCCGATCTGACTGTTTATAGTACCTGCATATGTAACTACGTAACTATATGCTCCGTACCAATACCTAAATAAACCAATCACCTCAATCTAATCACATCTAGACTCGGCCAGGGGTAATTTGAGGAAATTAAATTGCCAATTCACGATCGGTGGAGCTGTACGTGTGTATGTGCGTGTATCTGCGTGTATACCTCTGTATTCTTTCTCCTTTTCCCTTCCCCCTAACTCTCCCCCGGTAACCATTTCTCCATCAAAAGGCCTTGCTTGCCCCCCCATCACTCTCTTTTCACCTTCTCATCTACGTTTCGATTCTATTGACCACCGCTTCACTCGTTCAGCGGGCATTCATTCTTTTTGCGTGGCTGTATTATTCATCCATAATGAAGGGAGCTATTTTCGCCGCCGCCTTGGTCGGCTCTGCCATGGCCGATGGCGTTCACCGTCGTCATGATGCTTTCCACCAGCGTCGCGAGGCTGCTGTCAGCGCCTGGTCTTCTGCCCCTGCTGAGGCCGAGCAGACCTGTGGTTGCACCACCAAGGTTATCACCGTCTACGGCTCCGCTACCCTGGTCGACGAGTCTGTTGTTCCCGCTACGTCTACCTCTGTTCCCGTCGAGGCTGTTCCCGCTACTTCCTCGGTCCCTGCTGAGACTGTTGCTATTCCCTCTTCCTCCTCCTCCTCCTCCTCTACTCCCATCGCTATCCCCGAGACCAGCACTCTCACCAGCACTGTGCAATCCACCAGCACCAGCACTTTGACCGTCACCGTCTCTGGTGTTGGCGCAGAGTCTGCTTCGTCCTCGGTCCCTGCTGCTAGCACTTTCGCTACCTCCAGCGTCGCTAGCACCCCCGCCGTTGTGCTGCCCACTCCCGGTGTGAGCACCTTCTCCACCACCGGTGTCTACACCATCCCGGCCACCACCATCACCGTCTGGGACACCACCACCGTCTGCGGTGCCACCTCCACTGAGGTCCCCAGCGGTACCGTCACCTACGGTGGTGTTACTACCATCGTCGAGACTGCCACTACAGTCACCTGCCCCTATGCCACCGTCAAGCCCTCCGGCAGCACCGTGACCAGCGTGATTGAGACCACCACCTACATCTGCCCCTCGGCTGGTACCTACACCATTGTGCCCCCTACCACCACCTCTGTGCCTACCAGCACCGTTCTGGTCTACCCTACCCCCCAGACCATTGTCCCCGGTACCTACACTCAGGATGAGACCACCGTCACCGTGACCCGCACTGATTACACTTACATCTGCCCTGCTGCCACCAACACCCTGGCCTCGACCACCGCCGCTGTTGTGCCTACTACTGCCGCTGCCGCTACCACTGCCGTCCCCGTCGTCAGCACCAGCACCGTCGTTCCCGTTGTTCCCGTTACCATCAGCACCGCTGCCCCCGTTGTCAGCACCAGCACTGCCGCTTCCGTTGTCAGCTCCTCCAGCTCCAGCTCTGCCTCCTCCTCCACCGCCAAGGCCACCGGTGTCCCCACCGTCCTTGGTGAGGGCCAGTACGGTATGACTTACTCCCCCTACACCGCCGCTGGTGACTGCAAGACCAAGGCCGCCGTTCTCTCCGACCTCACCACCATCAAGAGCAAGGGCTTCAACCTGGTCCGTGTCTACTCCACTGACTGCAGCGGTCTGGAGTACATCGGTGACGCCTGCAAGTCCCTCGGCATCAACATCATCATGGGTGTCTACATTGACGGCTCCGGTGTCTCCGCCGCCCAGGAGCAGGTCACCGAGATCATCGCCTGGGCCGAGTGGTCCATGGTCGAGCTGATCGTCGTCGGTAACGAGGCCATCCAGTCCGGATACGTCGACGCTGCCACCCTGGCCTCCTTCATCGAGTCCTCCGCCGCTAGCTTCAAGGCCGCCGGCTACACCGGTCTGGTCACCACCACCGAGCCCATCAACGTCTGGCAGCAGTACGGCTCTGCCACTCTCTGCAGCGCCGTCGACATCGTCGGTGCCAACATCCACCCCTTCTTCAACGCCGATGTCACCGCCGAGCAGGCCGGTGAGTTCACCAAGAGCGAGTTCGAGGAGCTCGAGCAGATCTGCGGTGGAAAGGACGTCATCAACCTCGAGACCGGCTGGCCCAACGCCGGTGACGCCAACGGCGCCGCCGTCCCCGGTGTCTCTGAGCAGGCCACCGCCATCAAGTCCATTGCCGCCACCGTCGGCTCCAAGTCCATCTTCTTCTCCTTCTCTGACGACACCTGGAAGAGCCCCGGCGAGTTCGACGTCGAGCAGCACTGGGGTTGCTCTTCCGTCTTCTAAGCGCCATGTCTCTGATGGATTTTTGAATTTTGTTTAGTTCAAACGAACTTGTACAGGAGGACTAGGAGTTTTCCCTTTCTCGGCTTGGTGTGTCTACGGACGACGATCGGCCCTTTCTTCCTTTCTTGGATTTTATTTTAAACTTGACTCTGGTAGATACATCTTTTATTTGACGTTGTCTACTGACCTTGCACCTGATCTCTTTGCTGTTTATTGTTATTAGTCCTGTGTATATTGCATTTATGCCTTCTTACGAGTTTCGATCTGGTAATTCTGTAGTGTAGGAAATATGTAGTGTATTTCTGTCGTTCTCAGCACTTGATATCCTTGTCTTCATCTGCCCTGCCACCCTTTACTCCATTCAGACCTCGGCTTGTCATGCAACAAGTCGTGCACTGACATCATGCAACCGCGCCCGACAAATTGGGGCAGTGCATATCATACAGCCCAAACCCAGGCCAGAACAGGATATGAGATCAATCATCCATTTACCACAAACCCTCAAAACAAACATACTACCGCTCTTCCTTCCCCGCCGAACAAAAAACGAACAAAACCAAATCCAACCAAAACCCACCATGCCATGCCAATTCCCATTCGAATGCGAACCCTTCTACATGCGCCCGCTCCTAATAACAACATCCATCATCAGCGGATTCTTCAAAACATTAATCTACTTCCTCATCCCGGTAACCGTCGCAATAGCCATAATCTTCGTTCTCGCCTTCCTCCTCTTCGCTATACTCGCCGCGCTGTTTGGTTGGGATATGAACTCCGAGGAGATTAAAGCGAAGAGAGAAAGGGAGAAGAAGGAGCGGGAGAGGGAACAGAGGGAGTCAGATGCGGAACAACTTACCGCTCCTCCGGTAGCTGGGAGTATCCCCGGTGATACCATCGACCTAGAAAAGCGTCTCGAGATCGAGATTGAACTCCTTGCTGAGATGGTTCTTGCTAGGAGGAGGAGGTTGGATGCTTTGAAGAAGATGCATTTGGGAGATAAATCTGCGGATGCGGTGCAGAGTAACACCTACATACCTGGTTCTGGTTCTGGTTAGGTAGTGAAAAGCTATACTTCCCGAATAGGAAAGCGGCCATCTGGGTCCTGACTTTCCTGGACCGGGTTCTTTCCAACCTTGAATCGACGACAACGACAAGTTCAGAGCGCTGACTTGACTTCATTCTTCTCCATGCTGAGCTGTTACCAACATACCATACTCCTCTCCTCTCACTATCTCGAACGAGACAACCAAATCCAAACCAAACCAATCAAATCGCTTTCATCCATCATTCATATACCAAAAATGGAACAAATAGGCGAAGACCTCTTCGGCTCAACCTTCACCGAATGGCCCATCCTCCTGCGTCCAGTATGGGCAACCATGATCTTCATCATCGGTGGTATCAAGCTATTCTACTATTTTCTGTTACCAGCCGCCGCCGCTATTATCATTCTACTCTTGGCTGTTGTGATAGTGGGCGCTTCGGTTGGGTTTCTTGTTAGAGGCAGGCAGCTGGGTTCCAATGAAGATGAGACGAAGCGGAAAAGAGATGATAATGAGACTCGGCGCAGTGTGCAGCATCGGCTTGAGGCTGGGGAGCTGAGATGAGTGTGGCTTGGATTGCTTGCTGTGGGGATTGGGTTTGAAATATGGCCGAAGATGGGCTTTTTTTTTTTTCTTGGGGGCTCTCGTCTGTGGAATTTTGTCGAGGGTTTGTTGGTTTCGTTTGAGGAATCCTGTGTTGCATTCTGGGCTATCTTCGCGAGTGATACGCCGTCTTCTAAGGCGGACGGTATATGCATCGACTAAAGCTACCACTCGTTTTATGTTATATGGGACTAGCAATGAGGATTGAGGATCTTTGATTCGAATTATATACTATTAACAAATAGATAAGTACAAGCGAGAGCATTGAGTACAGTCGCATTCTCATGCCAACTCAAAAAGGCGTGGTTGCGCCCATCCCTCCTTTATCAGATTGTAACTCCCAAAACATTTTATAGTGGCGTGCAAGTCTATCATATTCATTAGCATTTGATCGGACAAATCCACGAAGCTCGCTAGCTACTTACGCCATTAGATCCGCACGTAAGTCCCTCACAGCAACATCCTTCAGCAGCGCAGTTCGCAGCTATGCAGACCATGGTATCCTAATAACATTAGGAATTGTCCGTATTCTCCGATTCTCGCCATAAACTCACAGATTGACACGCGATCGCGGCCTTGGGGTATGCTTCCGGCAGCGCGACGGTAAGAGTAGCGAGGAAGCCGAGGATGATAACCGAAGCGCGCATTTTGGATTGAGGACTGAGAAGATTTGGAAATGGATATCTAGAATGAGACAAGACCAAATCAAATTAGCGACCGAGTCAAAGTCAAGTATAATAATAGAAACTGGAATATGCTTTAGACGGACGCAAGGGCAAGAAACGGTGTAAGATAAGACAAACAAGCATACGTTGAGAAATAGCAGTAAGTAAGTAATCAAGCCAAAAGTCAAAAGTGGAAGTGAAGGTTGAATAGGTATTTAATATCGAAACGAAAGCAAAATTAAAGTCGAATGCATATCAATCAGGCGCTGTCAAAGTCTTATACCTAGTTGGCTCGCGGGCGCGGAGTACCAATGACACAAGCCACGCACCAGCGCGAAGATCTATCATGTTCTCGCCTGAAACAGGGCCATTGGGGGATCTACAGGGGTAGCTGTGGGATTGATCTGCACTGATTGGATGGATGAGGGCTGGAGAGTCTTGTCATTCGGATTGCTCGCGACGTAACCTCCTAGTAGTTACTCCATACTCCGATGCTGTTCTACTACTTAAGATTTAATATGATTTGGAGGGCTGTTTTTGCCTCCTGTTATATTATAGTGTAGAACAAATATCCACAAGGCTAAACTGACTCCATTGAGTATGAGGTCATTGATAGTGAGATCAAGCAGACCTGTGCAACTTGACTCGTTAGGACAGACACAAGAATCTGGGCCCCGGTGTGACTTGAATAGGGCTGCTAGTAAGCGGTTGGCAATGTCACCAGCCGCTTCGCATTATATTTCGCATTGCACTTGTAAGGGGTGGTGCAGCCGCTGAGGTTTGTGTTGTTTGTAGGCTTGGCGGTGACACATTGAGCTTGCGTGGGCGGCCGAGATGGGAAGGGATATACTGTGGTGGGTCTAAGGGGCTGGGGCTGGGGCTGGGGTCGTGATATTGATGTTATTATTACCGCGGAGGCTTTTGAATTGAGGAGATGGACAACATTTGCATGACAAAATAAGACAGCGTGTACTCCGTAAGCAACAGACATTGATATGGTCGACTTCACTTGTTTGGTCAAATGGGAGCGGAACATCGTGGCCCCGGTCTGGGCGTCCAAGATAGGAAATATATACCGCTCTATACCGGATTGTCTAAAGTGGTTGGTAATATTAGATATTATATCACAGCTGCATCGGCATATTATCTCCTCGATGGCTTGCTCGAGGATAGAAACTTGGTTTTAATCGATCCTGCATGGACAGCTTGACGCACAGAGATCCTAGTATAACAGACTATTCTCATCTCCATTAAGTATTCCGCACATCCTAATCCTCGGGTCAGTTGAATCTCTAGCTGTAGTTAAACTCAACGTTTGTTTCAAACAATCATTGTTCTGGTTCGTTCCAAGCTTAAAACGTCCGTCAGAGCAATTTGGCCCCGGAAAGCGGGTAGCGGGAACGAGACTAGCGGGTCTATTACTGGCTTGGGATTAGGATATACATAGTCTGAATATGCTTCATGCATGGCCAACCTTGGGAGATGCGGGCCTGCAATTCGCCGCCACTGTCAGTAGGCTGCCGAGTCTGTCCGGTAATTGGATGAAATGCCGACCGTATGCATGCACAGGCAGAGCAGAGAAGCAGATTCCCGAAAGTCGGATAGGTTCTGGCCCGGCTCGATTACTTCTCCAATGAGAAGAATGCCGGTAGTAAAGACATGAGCTAGCGTGAAGCAAAGTTGGCTTCTTAGATTGCATCTTGTACGTGACTATGCTCGGAGATCAAGCAGGCTGGTTCTATATGGTTGATTTATTCTAAATTCGAAACTATGCCTTCGACAGTGTTATCTACTTTAGATTCGGAATTTCTTGTGCCTCCAGAAAGTCTTTTCTTTCACGCCGATTTATTTGAATAACATCACTTCTCTCAACTTTCCCTCCAAAGAACGAATCAATAGTAGGGCTTAATCCTTCCCCCAAAATGATAGTGTTTCGCGAACACCTCCTTTCTTGCCCCAATCCTGGTTTTAGACATAAAGCTACAACAAGAAAGCCAAAGGTCTCCATATGTCCCTTGGAGACACTGAGCGGTCCCAGGATGCATGTTGGGTGCCGTATCGCCTTGCGCGTAGAAATCCGCCCTTATAGCACCAGTAGGTGAGGAAACGCCATATCCTGGGACACGAAGAGATACGCCGGCGATTTACCCTATGAGCATGTGAGATAATAGTGCCAGAGGATGAATATTGAAGAACTCACCATGCCAGAGACGAACGTGCGAATACCGATGCAGCCCAACCAATATACCCTATCCTATACATGCCAAGCACTGATAGTTCGATTCTGAATACGAACAGCAAGTGTAGGCAGGTATCATGAAGCCTCCCATGGTGAGAGATAAATAGTGAATGGAGAAGGTATCGCACGGTTTGGAGCAACGAACTACCACAGGTAGTAATTTGGGGCCCCTGATCGTGATCAGAAATAACTGCTCAGCTCAGAGCCTAGTTGGCTCATTGGAATATTTAGGTTCTTCTAGTTACTTTTCCACACCAGATACGTCAAAGCCGCGCTGATAGAATAACAATAGCAGCACTGATGTGAAGCAGGTTGTAACGATGCCAAAATGATAGCATTTGTGGTTCAAATAGGAGATGGAAGATGGCTGGAGGCCGCATGAAATAACAAAACGGCACCTATATATTATAATGTTAGCACTTCCTAACAGCCAGCCTCTAATTAAGAAAATGGCACTCATACTAGTGTGAATGGCGATATCACTCTTCAGCCATGCAACCACCTCTGCGAATTCTTGCATGGCCCGGGCTCATGCGCTTTGGACCTCTTCGTTTCGATGAGGATATTGGTTTATTGATGTTCGTCCGTATCGTGATAAAACTCCTCGGGAACAGCTGGCACACTCATAGCTGTCTCGGTAGGCACCTGCTCGGTTGAGACAGTCTGGGTGTACTCCAGAACAGTCTGAGTTGGCTGAGAAACAGCTGGACCACTCATGACTGCCTGTGTAGACACCTGCTCGGTCTCAACAGACTCGGTGGACTCCAAGGTGGTCTGAGTTGGCTGTGAAACAGCTGGCACACTCATTTCTGGCACATTCGGGGCTGTGTGCGTCAACTTTTGTTTCTGATCCACCCTTACCAATCACCTTCTCACGTTGGTACGGAACTCTTGAAGGAGCAAGCAGACATTCTCAATTCCGGGCATCGGTAAAACCTTCTTGCTGCAGCCATTGTCTTAGATAAGACAGGTCGAAGCACCACGCTTCCAGGCTCGGGTATAATGTAAACTAGCTCAGAGCTCAGGTTCATGTTGTGACTTGACTTGTAAGCACGCTGCCCCATCGATTGTTGGAAGAGGCCCCGAAGTCACTGCTCATCACCCACATAGACGAGCTCGCGATGTCGATTTGGTTGGCTATATAGAGGTCCTAGATGACATCGGATAGTCAGTATACAGCCAAAAATAGCGCGTACCAGAGCCTGACTTAACTGGTTGGTGAGAGCAAAGTGAAACTGGAATGATCAACGTGCAAAGGTTGTTCGACGTTGGTCAGAGGATTGTAAACCGAGATTTGACGGAGCTTGATATGTGATATCGATGGAAAGAATAATCCAGGACCAGGATAGGCCATCTTGGCCTCGGAATCATGTCCTATCCGAGGACGTCCACGATAATCTGTAATATACCCAGCAAGTGCAGTGGTATGCTCTGCCGTCAAGTGGGTTGATGTTACATGGCAGTTCAATCAGAACAGTAAGTATATGAAGAGAGAAGGAAAGGAAAGAGAAGGAGGAACTGTTTGCAGGGTTTTATGTGTTTCCCTGCAAACCCTGCAAACCCGTGACCAGCTCGCTTAGCTGTTCTAGAAACTAGGAAGAGACGATCTAACAAACCTTCAGATCATCACACCCGATAGGGTACTCCCTCTTCTAGACGATTTCCTGGAGCATTCTTCAATGACTCCAAGGGTATATGATATTTACCTGTTGCCTAGGTATATATAGTATATCAATATATAATAAAAGGTTGCTCAATATACGAGACCGCTCATCGTTCGTGATGAGTGCTATCCCGGCCATGAAGCCAACTATATAGCTTCATGGGACAGAAGAACAAAGGCTGCAGAGGGGGCAAAGAGAGGCATGACAAACTGCCTAAGCAAGCAATGCCTCAGTGCAGCAATCTGTCTAAGAGATAATCAGTACTTCCGGTAAAGAACGAGCAGGATGGAACATACTGGAAGTGTGCGTATCTTTGGAGATGACTCCCTTCATCGGTTGTCCGGTAGTCATTCTAAGACAGAAGAGGAATTGTTGCACTCTTCGTGCCGAAACATTCTGAACTCGGTTCAAAGATTCTGCACCTTAGGAGATACGTTCTGATTTGGCTAGGTCACTACTCAGGTGGCTTCTTATGTTGTAGGTGCTTAAAATATCCCTATCGATGCATGCGTCGAGGAACACGCTAATAGATGCTTCAAATTCCATATAGAGAATCAAGAAGTAGATGGAATATGTATAAGTCAAAGAAAGGAGCAGAGGTCCCCTTCTATGGAGCAGACTAGCCCAAATTAGGCTTAGTTCCCGCTTCCCGACCCACCCGTTAAGTCCTTCTTTGAGACTATGGACATCGTGATATGGATTATGTTCAATTTGGACATCGATCATGAGTGTTTGACATTACACGTAGGAAAAGTTAAAGATACATCAAGCAATAAGACCGTAAAACACATGAATCGTAGATAGAGGTGATGATAATCACCTCCGTCGTGGTAGAGAGGTAATGACAGCTACCTTTGTTGAAGCAGATTACTTCGGGTTGTACTTGTCTTTCCAAATCCTATAATATACATTAGGTTCAAACTCCATATCGCAGTCAGTTGCACATACCATGAATTCCCAAGAGTAGGGCACCCATTCTCCTCGGCAAGTCGGTAATACTTGGCCGCTTTGAACTATAGCCACATGAGTCAGAATAGGCACAGAATACACATCTAAGTGGAAATCACACGTACCTTGTCTTTCTTCCCCCCGAATCCCTCGAGATAACACCATCCCGCTTCGTTCATTGCGTCAGTGTCACCCAAGTTCGCAGCGGTCTCGTAGTACTGTCTAGCAGCAGCAGGATCCTTCGCTGTACCCCATCCCTGGCGGAAGCAATTGGCCAATTCGAAGATAGCCAAAACGAGCTCACCTTTTGCAACTCCTCCTTTTTTAACCCCAGCACGCAGAGCCTCCGCCTCAACCGCGGCGGAATTGGATGCTGCGGCGGAGAGATAGGTCACGGCGCGTGTTGCATCTACAGGACAGCCCCATCCGTGTCTAGACACATTAGCATCTATGAATTGAGAAATAGCGGGCGTGATTACCGTAGCGCGAGGCCATAAAGAACCTGACTCAGAGGATTATTTGCGCCACTTGGATCAGCAAGTTGTTCAAACATGTGAGTTGATCGCTCGAGATCTATATTCAATGTTAATGTATATCCCCAGCTGGGCATCAAAGCAAAACTCACCACCGGATTCGTGCAGTCGAATCGCCTCTTGAATATTAATCTATAATTCGTCAGCCCCATATTCCAACGACAACGACAACCATCACGGAAATATATAAGCAACACCACCTACATCTTGATTTGGATCCACACCAACCCGACTCTGACTCGAGCTCCTCGACCCAACCTGCCCCCCTTGCCCCAACCCTAAACCCAGCGAAGCATCTCCCTCGCCCTGCCGCACCGGCAAAGACGAACCGGAGTGCGCAAACTGCGGGTTCTGCTGCACAAGCACAGTAGCCCTCTTCTCCCACAACGCCTCGCGCTCCTGTTTACTCGCGCCGCGATCCTCCTCGATCTGCGGCAGGTCCGCGGGGATATTAGCGGACGAGTCACGCGAGTTACTGCGACTGCGATGGTGATGTAGGAAGCTTGAGAGGTGGCGCTCGCGATGGGGCGGAGACTGCGAGGAAACAGAGGGCCGTCTGGGGGAGCGGTTGAAGAACTGGAAGCTCCGGCGTGGAGATGTGGGCTCCTCTTGAGACGGTGATGATGGGTATGGGGTTGGGTCATCTGGGTACGATGGAGGTACGATTATCTCTTGGGTGTGGGTATCTGTACGGATGAGCTTCAACTCAGGGGCTGGGTTTGCTGGTGCATTTCGAGGTGTTTGGGTGGTGCTGAGATCGTCGTGTTTGTGGAGGATGTTACGTAGTGAGGGCATGGCGCATCTACTTGTCGGATGGCGCCGGGAGTGGACTTGGGTCTTCTTGTGTGTGGGCAGGTGGGAGAGAAGTATTTACAGGAATACTTTTAGGACTGAGGATGAATGATATGAAAAATAACCACAATGAATGAACAGTGGCTGTGTATGCCGGCTTACACGGGCTGGTGACGGGGGCCGGGGTCTTGGCCAGCGGCTAATATCCCGTGTGCACACAATGGAATTATGGAATATTAGATACTTGAAACACTTAGATGTCCTAGCGATATTTGCGATATTTCCAAATATATGAAATCGTAGTATAGATCTCTTATCGCATTCTCCGCCCCGGTGGTGGCGCTGCATTAGACCTGCATATAGAGCCACCTTGGGTGCATGGACTCAGCCTTGCCTCGGTAAATAAATGGCCAGTGTTTACTTGCAAGTATATACTACGTGGACTCTAAAGTGGTACCGGTCACATACACTAAAAGGGCACTGATCTCTTTGTATCATATTCTGGTCAAGGTGTTCTACGATGAAACTGGCCAAACAGATTCATATGCCAGACATCAGCCGGGCATTTCAAGCCCCACTCGCTTCATAACATGTCTTGAAAGCATGTGTCCGAATATAGAAAGAATCAAAATGGTATTGCAAGGTCTAACTCGGCATGCAAATAGCCCTTATAGTTTTGTACACAATGCCGAATGCAGTGAGCCCATTTACAGGGCCTTGGACGCCATGATGCCTGAGAATAGTTAGCACTCTTCTTTAAAAGTCGGTAATGGATTACTCACGCTCAACATCAGCAACGCTCTGCTGAAGGATCTGCTGGAGAACCTTGGGGTTCTCAAGCTCCTTGTGGATCTTGGCAATAACGGACTGGGCAAGCTCCTGCTGCTGGCGCTGCTTGACCTGGTTCTCATAACGCACCCACGACTCGAGGACCGACTTGGCCTCGTCAGCGAGGGCAGTGCGCTGCTCGAGCTCGTAGGCCTTGGCCTCGAACTGGGCGGTTTCCTGAAACGGATTGTCAACAACCGACCCAAGTATCAACGTACGTGACCGAGTATCCCTACCTTGGAAACAGCGAACAGCTGCTTGGTAACCTCGACAACGCCAGACATCTGGGCGACGTTGTCAATACGCTGCTGAACAGCGTTGGTGTGGTCGGCACGGGCAGCGTTCAGGATGTCCTTATGCTTCTGGACCTGACCCTCGGCCCACTCGCGGTAAGCGGGACCACCGTACTTGCCGACTGCGGTGAAGACAGAAAGCAAACAGAAAGCAGCGACGGTCTCCTCGTTCATGACGTACAGCTCGTTGCTGATGGCGGCGATGGACAAACCGGCGACGGCAGACAAGGTAGCGGTCTTGCTGATCAGGGAGTTGCCGGGGATGGCATTCAGAATAGACTGCGCCTTCTTCGCGGGCTCCTCGGCGGGAACGTTGGAGGCCTGACGAGAGGAGGTCAGGTTGGCAGTGACGGCAGGGACACCACGGACGGAAAGAGCCGGCCGAAGTCGGGATGCGCCTAGGGTGCGTTAGTAACTGAAGGCATTGAGTCGATCAGACGGTCGAGGTTCGTAAAAAGCGTACCAATGGCGCTCTTAGCAAGACGCGAAGCCATTGTTGCAGATGGAAGAATCTTGGTCTATGGGGTGGGTGAACGGAATTGAGGAGACTTGAGGTTCGGGATGGCTAGGAGGTGAAGACGCTAGCCGTTTCGGGCGATAGTTCCGTTCCTCGGAAAAACCAGCATCCGAGATGGTCTGAACGATAAAAAAAAGTTGCAGATAAACTATTCACGGTATTACAAGACGCCTGCCCAAAATGCCTGCACTTGTTACGGATTCGAGCTCTAAGAAGCGCAAGAGCGGCAAAA